CTGATGACGGAGGCAGTATGACCTCTGAAACGTTGGTAAACATCGACCAGACTACACAGCGCAACAACCCAGAAGACAGAAATCTTCATATTCATCGCCCTGATGATGGAGGCAGTATGACCTCTGAAACGTTGGTAAACATCGACCAGACTACACAGCGCAACAACCCAGAAGACAGAAATCTTCATACTCACCGCTGTGAAAACCTCACATCAAACAACTTACTTCTTATATCATAAATATTTAATAAATACACCACGCAACAAAGAACTTACCGAGTTAAATACAGATTTAGCTCAACTCAAGGGTTTCAGGGGTCGCGACAACCCAGAAGACCACATTCTGAACAAACTGCTTAGTAAGGACGCAGAGAGACTTCTGGTGCAGTTTAATTCCTGTTATTTTTCTGTCTCTAACTTTTCCATTCACCTGGTCTACACTTGCAGGTTTACAATCATGCATATTGCACGTACTCCATAAAGCCTACTGCTACATACAGACAGTTCATTACATGACTACACACTGCACTTAAAAGCTCCCGGGTTATTCATTATTTCGTTGACACACATGATAAAAGTATCAAAAACATCCAGCAGCGAACATATCAGGGCCAAAGAGTACAAGCAATGCAATCGACTATAGCGGATAAACACATACGTCAGTGTACACACACAGTTGACATTTTTTAGATAGAGATTTTTTGTATGCAGGTGTAGTCATGAAACCACATAAAATACCTATCTTCTGGTAAAAAAGAAGATTGTTTCAGTTGATACAGTAATCCCTTTAAAATTCATTCGTAATTGAATGAGGCATGAAAAACAAAAGTCCTCTTTAATGAAAACTTGGATGTAAACTGTCTAAAAACTATTAGTCAGAAATAAAATACTTTTATTCTATGAGTGCATCACAACGTCTGCGGAATTGAAGACATTTCACGAGATTCGAAGTTGTAAATACGGAGCTCCGAGTTCTAATGTTGTGTAAACGTGTAGGTTTACCGACGTTTCGGAGAAACTTACGTCTCCGTAGTCAGGGTAAAAGTGATGGAGGTGATACCTTCCTCCGAAATCTGGTAACTACCTACAAAACTATTTGGTGTCAAAGCCTAAGGACCACGATTTAAGTGGTAGTCTACCAGCAAAAAATTAGCCTATTATGTATATCTGTTTGTCTGTAAGTAACAGGTGGCTCAAGAAAACTGCTAATGAATAAATCAAAATTCTTTATTCTTCAGGACGTATCATTACGGAGATCAAATTTTATCGAATCTGATTTAAATAATGGAAGATTACGGATAGGATATGTAGCACGAATCTGACAAATGTGAAATGCATACAAGGTTGTGGTCTGAAATCCCGAAGAGAAGAGACCAAGTTGAATGCAGAATAATATTAAAAATATCTTAAACAGAATGTGGATAAGGACCACTGACAGGTTCACGTGAACACGATAATAGACTTTCGGTTTCTATAAGAAACTATTTTTGACTAGCTGAGAGATTGGTCGGTTCTCAGTAAGCACTGTTACCTGATGTTAGTTATAGTATCCTATTGTGTCCGCATATAAAACCAGTTTCTGCCCATGTTTACTGAACATGAGTTAAATAAATGGCGTTTTAGATTCCTGTGGGGCGTACAAACCAGAAACTACCAACAGCTTGACCGGCGACCGAGAAACGCCACAGAGAATTCCTGTCGTGAAGGTTTGGAGAGATTTGTGGGTCCAGCGAATGGACAATCGAAGCCACGAGGCCTTACGCCAGAAAAGCACGATCCCAAACAAAACAATAGGAGGTATTTTGAATACTCAGTACGTTGTTAAAAGAGTAACCAGTGCTGTTGTTTGTTTTAACGAAACGCAAACATTGAACAGACGGGTTAGTTGATGTAACTCATTTGAATTGGATGGATTTGTTTTAGTTAACAGTGAACTCTAAAGAAATTCGTATAAAAGTAATGAGATTTTGAAATCGGGTAGGATAAAAGTGCTCCGTTACAATAATTTGGCTTGATAATAAGAACAGGAAAATTCACCTTTTCATCCTAGGCATAGTCTTACCACAACGCAACAATGTCAATGAAAAACATGAAAAGTTTTTATAATTTTGAATGGATTTTTTACCAACTATAAACTACCTGATATTTATCCGACATTTCAACACACCGCACTCAAGCTTTGCCTACAACACTTAACTGTAGTATTGTAACTGTTTTCAAAATATAGAAGTCTTTCACTTTTACGTTAGTTTATGGATTCCGATCCAGCCTCATGATACATTAAGCAGAACGAATGGAAAGGGCCCCATGCTAAAAGGAATTCGCTGTGAATAGCGAAAACTTGAATGTAGCAACATTCCACTATATGAAGCAGAATGTGGATATTCTGGCTAATATAAATGTTTGAGAGGGTAAGATATTTTGGTGCTGAAGCTTGTAAAGGAAATGTGCAGTGAACCTGACTTATATTGGGGCTTACACGTAGCAAAACCAAGTTCGTTTCCTGCCGACGACAAAATAATCATAACCCCATTTTTACATAAGACAGATTTAGAAATACGGTACGCAAAACTGAATCCATGGAGGAGAGTCCTTCTTGAGAAGCTGATAATCTTTTACGTGGTCAAGATATTCCCGAATGTTTATCAGAGACCCTATCCCCAGCCTATCGAGTGCAGTTCATATTCCAAAAATATTTCTTTTAGATCCGTATCATCATTCTACCATCTGTGCTTAGTTTAATCAGGTTGTCTCTTCCCTTCAGATTTTTAAACTGGAATTGTGTATATACTGTTTTTGGCTAACTCTGTACCTAATGGCAGAATGCTTTATTCTAAAAATGATTTTATAATTAGACAGCTTTTACAGGTACTTCTAAAGGAGATAAACATGCGAAATACTGTCTATTATAATCTCTGTACCAAATGGAAAAATGTTTTATATTAAAAATGATTTTGTTCTTATGCAGCTTTTAAAGACACTGTTAAAGAAAATAACGCAACAAAAAAAAATATAGTAAAGAAAGTGATAAGGAAAGAAGATACATAAGAAAATATTCCTTGTTAAAGTTAAAGTAGCCTTTATAACTAATATGTTCTATTGCAATCACGCTATGAACAATTAGATCTGCCTATAACAGCTACATGTGACTGGCGGGACCCGTATTTTTAATTTATTTCAAATATTAAATGAATTCACCCTGCAAGAGTGAGTGAATTTAAGCAGGATATGGTGTGTAAAGCTTAGTGAGCGTTAAATGCAAACTGTGTTTCACACGAACAAGAAGGCGAATTATCCTAAGACCCTGCTCGCCCTGTTTTCTATTTTCCTTCTGACGCAGACATCTGCGTCCTCGGAATGACATGGTCCTTTTTAGTATGTGTCCTGTATGCGTGGAAGTGCTTCGATGGTTGTCTGTTCAGACGGGGATAAAAATGGGAAGTTGTCGATATTCAAACCCCGTATATTCATGCACTCCTCGGTATGAGGGAGGAAAAATGTGAGTAAGTAAGAAGGAGGTAACGGAGGAGTGAGTGAGGTTGGGGAAAAGAGGTCGGTCAAAGCCAAAAACCGGGTGAGAGTTAGAGGCTGTGCTAAAGGAAGATCAAAGTTGGGAAAGGGGGGTGATTCTTGGGGGAGGGGGTGGAATTCCAGGGCTTGGTAGGAGGAGGGTGGAGACGACTGCATCAGCCATCATGAAAGCAATTCCGGGGTACCATGAGCGCACGCACGAACTGCAGCCAGAAGAGCCCCTGGAATCTCTGTCTTTCTTACCCTATCCACTCCTTTGTTATAACCGCTTCCTACATCCACCCAACCCATCTCCGTGGCCACGACTAGTTCGTGGTTTGGAATACAGACTTGGGAGATTCTGTCTCCGAGAGAGGTGCACCAAACAGCAGACTTGCATTTACAAATTAAAAGGAATTATTCTATTAGAGTAACTTCTGTTACGAACCGTCCCATTGCGGATAGGATATTTTGTTTCCATAAAGTAAATTAAAGACGTGAACAGATACCCGTCGTATTTAAAACTACTGAGAATACATCAATCTCACTTTGATTTTAGGAATTTTTAACGAACTATTGTCCGGTGGATTTAAATATTGGATCGTATCGGTATAATACCGTCCTTAATTTACAAGACGCTGATGTTTAACTTAATTAATTAATTAAATAAACTTACGAAATGTACATACAATGCAACAAATCTGATTCTTTCGCCACATACTGACCTCTGACCTATAAAGCAGACAAACAAGGATGCCTGGTGATTCCGCTCCCAGTCAATTCGGTGCGCAAAAACGCATGTAAATCTTCGTGTAAAGTGTCCCTTTTTGTTATCTGGTTTTAACGTAAACTGGAATTCATCGACAAATTATAACGAAACTCCACAGTATTAAATTCCACCAGTTCTCGAGTTGTTTCATCCTTACGGACGGACAGAGAGACGGATGAAAAATATTTTAATATCCCCTACACAGTTACGTGGACGCAGCAGAAAACAAGTTGTCGTTCAACGTGTAAGAAATTGTTGTATGATATAATATAAATCTCGCCGAGATAAGTTTCTCAATTCTCAACAAAAAACGTATCTATACATGAGAGAAATTTTTACTCTTATTTGTGCCACAAGAGTGCAGAGTAAGGAAAGAGTATTTAAACACAAGTTGTACTTTTATGTAATCGGAGCTTTCTAAAAAGTTACCTATTTCTGGTATCTTTTTTCCGACATGTTTTATGAAACGCAATAACAACAATATCTTTACATATTATTGATCATTTTAATTTGCGGTACAATCTTTTGCGTTATGAATCCCTCCTTTGCACTGTGTTCTGTCAAAATGACTGTGACGAAAGACGAGCATACATTAATTTATTTCTGAAATAATGTCACATCAAAACACGAAACAAATTGGATTTCTTAACGAACGCATTTTTAAACTACGTGTATTCCAATGAAGGACACATTTCCACTTTTGTTCTGCTTTTGAAACTAATATCTCGCTGCCAGCTGGTGCAAGAGAAGAGAAGGTTTGCGATTGCATAAATAACTAATTGCTCTGGGTTGGCAGAACTATAATAACATGGCGGAATGTTCTGCCGACTTTACAAATGTTTTCTATTGCTGCTATGTGTGAGAATTGCATCGTAATGGCTCGCCTGAAATTTTCACGAGGAACGTTCTTGAATAATAAATACATCAGTCTCTTACTGCCTCAAATAAAAACGGGCGCACTGTCAAATTAAGGGCTTTATGGTGGACATACGGACGAGAATGAAATCTATGCGCTAACTATGCCAATATAATCGCATAAGTACTGGAATCAGGTATTCTAATGACACCT